CAGCAGAGTTATCGACTAGACAAACTTTGATCCACACAAGTTCTATGGAAATCTTTCGGGTGCACCTATACGTAGCAGTACTTGGGTATGTACAAGTGCATAAATATATGATATGCCTATTCATATCATATATATATACATATATATATATACACGTGTCTGTCTATCTGTATAACCACGGATGGCCAGCATCCATGAGCTCTGCTCATAGTTGTGGTGCGGATCCTAGTAGTAGTCTCAATGGTGCCAGTTATACCCCACTATGATGTTGTACAGCCTACGTAGGTTTACCCTGACAGGGCCGCGCTGTGGGAATCAGGAGCAGCTAGTGATTCCAACAACAACTGCAGCGACAGGGAGGCCTCGCTCCTTCTTGGGTTACTCCTCATCTCCACTGCATAGATGACAAGCAGTCGACGATCGAACAGTCTGTAAGCAGCCCAATGGCAGAAAGAGAACAAGCGAAAAAAACTCAAAGGGGATCGGCAAACTAACGGCGGCAGCCAGAAACAGAGCGGAGACGGAGAGTAGCGGACGAAAACCTTGCAGAATACAGCACTTCTCTTCAAACGCCGTCTTCCAACATAGCAGCAGCTGTGGCTGCTGCAGCGTAACCAATGGCGGTATCCTGCTGCCGCTCCGCTCTCGTCATACGGCGACCACTACTACAACGAGTGGATATTGGTCTGAAAGCTTGCCGCCATTCAGGCTGCCGCCCGTTTGTCCCTAGCGCCCTGCTATTCCCCGATTCCTCAACCGTTTGTTAATAATTCAACCGGTGCACGGGGAACGACCAGGCGCCCAAATGCTACCCGATGAGAGCACAGGGACGACCCCGGCGGCGGCGCCGCCAACGGCTCCAAAAGCATCGCTTCCCATCAGGCCCACTGACCCAACGAACGGACGCAGACAGTCTATCAGCCACACAGAGACCCTCTTCGCGCTAGAGCTGCCTATCATCGTTTGGAAGAGGAGACAGAGGGGCAGTACGGCACACGAAGAAACGCCTGATCTCCTACCTCCCAACTTCATACGGCCTAACCCGCTACCATCACCTCCGCCCAAACTACCACTGGCTACCTTCTCCTCTCTGCAGTTCCGCTCGTCGGCGCCCGCGTGGGGTTCACACGCTAGGCGGTAGAATATCCGGCGTTGCTGCTGCCGCTGTTACTAGAAGACACCAGCGGTAGTATAACTTACACTACGCGACGAAGAATGAGTAAGAGCTAAGGCAGTTAGATTCTATATTGCCTCTAGGCGGTCGGGATCCTCCTACAGAGCTTACGGCTCGTATCCTGCTATGTTTGTCGGTGTCTCTTTCGTGAGTGACACGCCGCTCCGCGAATGGCAGAACATTGAAATAATTACATACGACAACACTCCGATCATTGTAACTGACATTCGTTGTGAAAGTTTGCTGAGTGGTGTAAGAAACACACGATCATTGTCGCCTTCCAAAGGCGCCTAATTTCATCATGTTCTCCAATGGAAAAAAAAATGAAAGTGACAGCAAATGCAGCTGTTATATATATTCAATACTGAAATGCAATCAGCAAGAGCAAAGTTATAATGATATGTACATGTAGCAGTGTTATACTGATTGGTAGTCGACATCTGATCTGAAAATAGTGCAAACTTATAGTGATTATATGAACCATCTGAACTTCTTCTATTTATGCTCTTCTACCTAGGCTCTTCTGCCTATGCTCACGGCGGATAACTCCCAGCTGGAGATCTCGGCTCCTTCTTCTAGACCCTATAGATCATCGCGGAACCACATAAACGATTTCTATTGCACAGCACGAGTCGCATACCACCGCCCTGATCGACACCGCCTGTGGAGTTTCGTACCAACACTTTTCACTGACTTAACTCCGACCCAACGTGCCTATGGTAACCGGCCGTGCGTGGGGTAAATGTGGCGAGTCGTCCGAGCCCACCTCAGTGGCTTCATGAGCAGACTCTTTTCTCTCATTAGACCCGTCCGGCGTCACGCGTCGGTCGCGTGTTCTGATTAAGGTGTGATAGCTAATTGCCCATCGTATTACTGGAAGCATTCGTACGAGCACGATAAAGGGCGGCTTTCTGTGCGCAAGGAGGACACCGTATGTCGAGCAACAGATTTTAGGCCAATGTGCCTTATGTCAGCACCCCCTCTACTCCTCGTAGACGGGAAAGAAAAATGCCAATAAATAGAGGAAAAGTTGACCCACTTCAATGGACACTACTCGCATGAGGTTCGTCGGCAGGCAGAAACGCACCACTGTAGATGCAGTCGATAGTTAATTTGGTAGGGCAAGTACCGAAAGTGACTAAAAATAACGTTGAAAATAACGTTCTGTAATTTTTTAAGTTCGGCACTCAATTCAACTTCTTCTTTTTGCGAAAATATTTTGAGAAATTAATGGCGGCCAAAAAGCCAACGAACCACTCATCATCCGAATCTGGTAATGTTGAAGTTAAGTTGTCGGTGAGATCCACGCACTATCTATTCGGTGTTAGCAACATTCAAAGCCATGCTTCCTGCCAGTAACGTCCCGCGTTGGTACAATTCAATAACTGAAGTCTTCAATGGTTTGTTGATTGTAGAAACTGTGTGTGCCCCGCCTACACATTATAGCTGAACGTATTTGAGGGTACGGCGTGCTGCTATATTTAATATTCCATATTGCATACAAACTGTTACAAGCTTGCGCTTTCTTAGGATAGTACCATGCGGCATTAAGCCCTAACGATGCGTCACAAAATATCGTAAGTCAGGTGCACTGCCTCACATTGCTTTAGTCCCGTTATCTGTCCAGCTCCTGCATCCATCCAACGCTGCACATACGCTACGGTAGATCGAGTACCGACATGCCAGCAGAGTTTGCTCGCCTACAGAAGTAGTTGTTATAAGTAGGCAGCTAGGTGTTTTATGTCTTGCCTCCAGACGGAGCTCCCGCACCAGCGGAGCTGCATAACAAAGCCATGGAATAAGGGGATGTTTTTATTCAATTACGGAGGAGTCAGTCAGTCAGTCAGTCAGATCCTCGCTATCTACTGAACCAAAGAGGCAACCTGCTTCAGCCTCTGTAGCGAGCAGCTTCTGCATGGAAACGAACCGCTCGATTCTCTTCCGTATCTTTTCCTCTGTATCACTATATCCTAGTAGCGCTTAGTCTCGTTCTGGGCAGCGCCGACCGCATCTAAAAAGTATGACTTGCAATTCTGCTCACTCCTGGGCTGAAATAGCGAACAAAGCCAGAGAATGGCCTTGATTGAATTATCTCTCTCCGATATAAGCAGTAACCAGCAGCTGCCTCCTTCCTTTCTCACTGTCGAAACAGCTTTGCTACCGGTGCAGGCATTACGCCGGGGGAGCCATGGCCCAGCTTGTATCGCCACGCTTCACGTCGCCCGACGCCGCCCCACCAACATCGTCAACCCTGTTGACCGTCTACAGGAATTCTTATATAGGAAAACCCTAGAGAGGCCGCAGAAGACGTTCTGAATGTCTATCACGTGAGTATTTACCTTATTGTACGGTGATATAATATCTAGATGAATTAAAACAATTACTTTACAAGCAAAGCTCGTAGAAAGCAAGATGCTCCCACCTATAGAAAACATAATGACGTCAGATATGACAGTCGTGTCCAGAGAGTCCTTGATACTACACATGATTCAATCGTTGTATTTCTGTAACGATAGTCTATGGTTTTTGTATTCACGGATCAGCTCAAGTTGATTAAGGACCCAAATCTACTTGTCCTGACGAACGAAGGTGCAGAGAAAGTTGATCACAGCGAAGAGGTTCATGTTTCCAAACAGAGTCAAATTTCAACAGCCTAGGCCAGTTGGCCTTAACAACAACAAGGAGATTGCATCGAGACAACTCGAAGTACTTACATAAATATACCAATAACCAGTATTGAACTAAACCCTACATATATGATGTACAAACTGTGTTTCGGGACGTTCGCTAGAACGAATACCCGGTCGTCTGTTATTTCTGGTACTAGACAAAAACCGAGAGCGACACTGAGCTAGTGATAACTCTTTTTAGGCTTAATGAAATTCCATATACATAAATAATAAAAAAAAAAAAAAAAAAAAAACAGTTGTTCCAAATCGACGGTCTACGTTATTGCCAGTTCTCATAAAGCTTCTGAAAAACCCGAGGACAATTTCCTTGATGATGAATGCGATAATTCTCAATAGAGTTTAGATTTAGAAAGCCTGAAAATTTATCAAAACGGGTCCATAGACCATTTTTAACCTTTTTTTTTTTACAAGGCATTTGCAAAAAAGGGAGCATTGACTATCGATTAGGTCATTCGGATTAGCTCCGATTATGAGACACGAAGCCCTTTTTTGGCGGTTTGTACACTTCCATTCCATCCGAACTTTTGACTTTTTTTTTTGTCTGCTATAATAACAATTCTGCTGGAATCGTTTGTAGGTAGCACTTTCAGCGAATTACTGTAGTTATTTTATTTTCTTTTTTTTAATATATTTATTACTAACGAACGAAGGAACATATTGAGAATGAATCGTGAGCGCCCTAGGCCTTGCACTGAAGCAATATCCGCTATGGATAGCGCTTATATCGGTTAACAATGAGCGACAGGGATAACATTTGTAGCATATAGGAAACGTTCTATATGTGCTCATTTAAATAGAGCCTTAGAAGTAAGATATAATGAAAATGATCTATTTAGACGCGCCATCCTGTGTACTGCTTTAATCAGCGCTGTAGTACAGGGTCTATGAAAGGGGTTCATCCGTGACCAAGCAAATCAAATAAATGACTACGAAAGGCCAAAGCCTTTTTGAACATTTCATTTCATCGTCACCGTCACTAGGACAATAATAACGTGTAGACATTTTAGGTCAAGCGAGTGCGTTGAAAACGCTTGAGATTTTTGTGCGCCATTACGTCTACCTACTTTGAACAACAGAGATTTAAGGTAATACGTATCGCTGGCTTCGCCCGGCCATTGATTGGTTACACAGCTCACCTGTGATAGTCGCTCTTGCAGTAGGTCTTTCCGTCGCGTACGAAGCAGGTGCAACTTTCGTCGAGGAAACGCGCGCACTCGGCGCATCGCAGACAGCCGGCATGCCATTCGAGATCGGGACTTACCCGAAGGATGTACGGATCTCGGATAGCCGATCCACAACCGGCACATTGGGAACGGGCTCCGCCGCCCCCGGATCCGACGCCCCCAACGCGACGCTCCGCCATACAAACTGTAATCAAATAGAGCAAAAAATCACCCGTTTTTTTTTACCTGTTTCTCAAGTAAAAAAGTAATAATCAAATCAGATGTTTCTTGTTTCAAAACTGGTTATGGGTGAATTTGTTCGCTACCATTCACTCGACAACAGCGATAATAACTTTAATAAGAAAAGAATCGTACGGATAGGTGAACGATTGTCATTGAATGCAGTGTAAAGGTACGTTAATTTTCAAAAAAAAAATTTCGTTAAGGCCAAATTACGGAACACTGACACGGTTTGTTAGCGCAGTAATAACAGCGTACTTAACTGAGATTCATTGTGACGTATAATATTGTATAGCATTGGATCAATAGGTACTACATTTAGTTGCAAGCCATTTAGCCATTGGGCGGAAAAGCGATGCGCTAGACGTGTCAGCTCTGCCGTTCACGCACAGTAATAACAATGACGAACACTGTTATACCATAAGCAGGTAAGCAAGGCAGAAAAATGAGTCCGATTCACTGTTGTTAAGCTCTGCAGAGTTAACAGACATGACGAGTATCAGCAGGAATCGGAAGCCTTAAAGCATTTTACGTTCTCTGAATTCAGCCGACTGTTAATCAGCATTTCATTGGGACGATAGTGGTAGCCGCAACTGCTGCTGCTGCCTTTGCACGTCCGAGCTCAGCTAACTTCAACGGCGGCGTCTCTGTGTTATAGATATACGTGTATGTATGTATGTATAAACTTATCTGTAGCAGCAGAAGGAGCGGCCATTTTTGTGGGCTAGCTGGCTGGATGGCAATACGCTGGGTATACAATAGGCAAAGTTTGAACGACGAAATATCGCAGCCATTTCTGCCACAGCTACTTCTTTGTGGACAAAGTCAACAAAGGTGGCAATTTAATGGAACCCCTATACTATTCGCCTCCTGCTGCCCGCGTCGAACACTTCATATTCTGCTTCAGCGCCGCCAACAACAACAGAGGCGACGGCATTGCCACCATCAATAAATCGATAAACGACCCTCAATGTACAGAAGCATATATACATATATGTACACACAATACTTTCAATAATTACATCATTAGTCCATCCGGAACGACATAGATAATTGTCATAGATACAATACGACGAAGGATCGAATGTTCACGTAATTAATGCGATTCTGATTGTTCGTGCCTCATTATGTCGCTGAAGGCATAGCCATATATTAGTTGTCGTACAATGGGCTTCGCCTTTGATCCAAAGACCCATTTCTAATAGAATATATTTAAATATCGATACACGTTTAAGAGGGCATAGCGATGATGCTAGACATCCTCCTCTGTTCAAGATGTAGGCGTTCAAAATATACAGGCTGCCATATATCGTGCATATATCGTCACCAACCACATTCTTGTTTTTATTTCTGCTGTCACATCTCGGTCTAAGCGGCAGCAGAACGACTTTTTGTTGCAATATTTGCGTAACGCTTCGACATATCGTAATAAAATATCCTACGAAATACATTGTATGTACGATGCTTTGTGATCGTTCGTCGTACGGATCTTCTGCAGATAACAATATATTCTTCTGACAAATCTAACTGTTGCCCAGACTTCCCTAGTGTAGCCCCTAGTGTAAAATAACCCCACACAGTGGTGTTGGGTTTTTCTATATGGAAACTACTTCGCACTAACTTATCGTACGTCATTTCAAACAAGCGGTGGAACAAGGTGACATGTTTAGGTAAGCCAGCAATTATCACTATTAGTATATAATATAGAACATGTTGTTTCGGATTAGAATTCAATTCTGGGGTGCTAAGGACGCCACAGAGCCCTTTATGGGACTTAGCGCGGTGCTGGCTGTTGAGCTCGCAACGGAAATCAGTAAGTATCAGTTATGTTAATTTCAGGGGGTGTAAATCCAATTATTAAAAAATGACTGATACTAAACATTCAGCTGAGATGGTTACAATGGAGTCGAGCGGTCGAAACATTTTAAAAGCTAGTCCGTTTGACGTTCGATCGACATCTGCATCGTCATAGTGATAAGGCATCCTTACAAAAACAAAATGAGGATACCATTTAGGGTACGACCATATTGGGGCTCTCGAAGACTCGTGAATCTTCGCTGAGAGCACTTTCAGGCTCCCATTAGCAAAGCAGCCTATTTGCAAGCGAGTTGATGGACTATCTCGTCGTTTTCCTGTTATCATTGAAGTTTTAGGAGAGATACGATTCACTCGTGGCGAGAAAGGGAGCGATGGGAGAAAAGCTAAAGAATAAAAGACAGAGATAGACTAATACTTCGAAATGCACATATCATGTGAGAGAAGCGGAGACACTCCTCATGAGCTAGATGCAGACGAGTAATAACTTTCCCCCAAAGACAGCGGCAGGACCGAGTCTACTACATGCCTGAAATCCCTGGGGGTGTTCAAGGATGGCGCTATATAGAAGCTGATAGAGTGATGATAGGAGCATAAGACAGCGAGTATTAGAACATGGTCTTATCATAACAACATGCCGGTCATGATAGGTGTCTCACTAGACGTGGATTTGGGCGCGCGTGTGTATGTCTGTCTATTTATATGTACATGCTTGTCTGTATGTATGCATTGGCACGACTGGACAGCTGCTACTATGCGATGGAAGTTTTTGCTCAACGCTCCCTTACTAATATGCCCCCATCGTCGCTGTTTTGTGATGACCATCAATAGAGTGTCGTCAAACAGAGAAAAAGAAAGTACCTTTATATACGATAAGCTGATATGGCAAAATAAAAAACTGAGCTGCCGCGATGTAAAGTTCAGCTAACAAAAAATCTGCGAAGTTCGGAATTACGAAGTGATTTTTCCAGTTTTTCTTGCACACTCGGTAGGCTGTCTGATAGTTTTAGCATGTAATCAATCCTTAGACATACGATAGATAGAAAATAGCTAAAATGGAAATTATTATATTTTATAAATATTATATATATATTATATTTCAAAAATCTAACTACTTTAACTAATAACGATAAATCAAACGTTCGTTTATGTTGTGATTGAAAAGCTTTTCCTTTTTTACATCAATAAGTCCAGACTATTATATATGCCATGTTTCCTTTTTCGTCTTGATCTCAATGCTGTCCAAGACCTCGTTCCCTCTCCTTCGAAATTTCCTAGAAATGGTTAAATTTGTTAAAAAAAAAAGCCTGTAGAGTCTTCACCGTTGCTGCTTGATTCCATTAGCTATCGAAGAAGATAAGCAGCTATCTAATGCGATGCTGTTATATTGGAAAGGACGACAGGTCAGTAGTCCAAATACGTTTTCACTGTGCCCGAGATAGGCTTTATGAACTAGCTTATAATTGAAGGCATATTTTCACGCTTGATACTTGCGTGTTCAGCAAAGCATAACAATAACATACGCGTTTGATCAGGAAGATCTTGCAAAAATACGGAACTCGAAGCCAGTATTGTAAAAATGGACCACGGAGTGTCGTCCGGAGGTGCGTATCCTTCAGGCTTATCATTATTGAATTTGTGTAGAGTTTCTCCCGATTTGAGTTTGAGGTACTTTGAGAAAAGCAGATAAATGTGTTCTCGAATAATCTCTAGCAGGTTATTTGCTACTGAGAATAGGATAAATAAGTAATTAAAACGCGGAAGACACCCCTTCTTCATGTCCCTGCAAAGAACCCGTCGAGGTGTCGCAGCTTTTTTAGTTGCCAGCAGTAAATAAAACCAAATACACTAATTACTATGAAGATCTTAGACACGGTATACGATTCTGTTGCTGATGCGCGGAGGTAGTCGATTCACATATGCCAAATGTTTAACTTATAAACGCAGGAGCGGTATAGAATGTTATAAAATGATTTCTAGGGAAAGTTAAACTTCTCCTAAGTACATTGATTCTACGAATATACGAAACTAGTCACTAAAAGCCTTAATTAAAAAAGTATGTTAGCTGGGCAGTTTCTGTCAGACATACACACGTGTAAGCACGCATGTGACGCATGAGATATGCATCTATATGTACAGGCAAAGATAGGTAAGCGGCAATATTATATAAAGACAGACTACTTACTGTCTGGTGATCTCCCTTGGAATCGCCTCGAAATATTAAAATTACTGATAAATCTAGATTATTGACTATTTAGAGTCAAACGCGGTTATGAAGCCAACAAGTTACCTACCATATCAACTTAATAAACGAAACAGTTCTTGTACGCGCGCTTGCTGAATAGTTTGTTCGCATATTGTGCTCTTATAGCAGCTCGGAAAAATGGGAAATGCTTAAGTTTCTTGTAGCGGCCCATAAAACTTCTACTGAAATCATTATCAATATCATTTTATAATTCAGTTGAACTCGACAGCTGCAAACTGCGACTTCGTTCACGTATGTGCAGGTTGTTTCCTTTCCTAGAACCAACAAGAATTGGTACCTCCATTAGATTCATACTGAAGTATCGGCCTAATCTCCGCACAGTCATACGGGTGTCACCCACCACTTGATGCCAAAGTCCGCAAAAGGGATTATGGCATCATTGCCTTTTCCCTACCCGACGAGCTCAGCGTGTGCACGTGGCGTGCGTATCAACCTCACAAAATATATACGCCCGCACACACACACATGCATGCCCCAATCGAACTCCTATTCCCCATAGAAAGGAGTCCATGACCTTCTATGCTAATTGTTTGTATGTATAAGGTGAACAGTTAAAATGTCTCAATTCGTCTTAAGGCGCGTTTTTCTCCAAAAGGACCGTGTTACTCCCCGAAACTCATTGACAGAGCTAGGCTTAAACACTTCGCTCTTGAACCATCTTTATGTGGACAAGCTACGGTGCTCCTGCTGACCTGGGGTAGGAGTCTCCTCTTTAAGCACTCGGGGATCTGTCAAGGATATACAAAGGAAAACTACCTCAGCAGCTCTTCCAGCCTAATATTTACCCACACTCAGCGTCTGTTGCTCAAACAGATATTTTAATCGCATATAGTAATCTAAAAATGAGCACATGCTGCTACTGGACTATTGTATCTAGTATAAAA